ATATCTTAGGTTGAACCTCTTTACCCAATCGGTCCTAAAGATATTACTGCGGAGTTGGGGGAGATTTGTCGGTTGCTTTCGAATGAGGCACAGAACTTTACATATGTTTGTCACATGAACCTAGTTTAGCAAGCCTTAGGATTTCAGTTCCCATGGAAAACAATTTTTCGGTTCCGTGTCCAGAGATCATGGGAAACCATCAGTAACAATTTTTTGGTTCCGTGAAAATACATGGGAACCCATCCTCTAAATGTTTATTTTTTTCTTGGCGCTGGAAGCTATAAACTAGCAATGTATAATGCTTTTTTCAGAATGATTCAAGATGAAATTGATAGATGCTAAACATTTCAGTTTCGTAAATGAGTCATAACTATTGAATTGACCTACTAGTTATAAGAATCTGTGTGAAAAAGTAAAGAATTTCTGTAATTGGATCCCTAAGGCTAAATATGGCACTGGAAAACTTATTTTTTGGTTCCGTCATTTTAAGACCACGGTAACCACAAGGTACCGGAAAGTTTTGTTATCGTGAAATCCTAGGGCTTGCTTTAGTGACCTTAGCTCCCTTGAGACTCTGGTAGCTTTGTGGTAGAGCATCTGGACTAGTAACCAGAAGGTGATAGATTTGACTCCTATAGGAACATTTGGAAGTACTCGGATATCTTCTTCCGAGCCGCCTGTGTCACTGAGCTTGCGAAAGAGGCAAGAAATGAAGCTCTCTCACACTGAATGGAACCTGGGCACGAGCTACAATTTAAGGTATCAGTTTTCACGATAATGACGTGATTCAGTTTTGTTTCTTGCCAAACAGTGCAACAGTTTTCTAACCTCTCCCCACCCCCGCCCCGGCGTGCATAAAGTTCAGGAAGGTTTTTCTATTTTTCCTTGTTTGTTGTAAAATTTTTGTGATGGTTGTGATTAAAGCGCTGTTGCATTGTGGAGTGGCAGACAAATGGAATTCAGTGTGTGAGAAATCATCTTTCTCGTGTATTTACCAGGCTCAAAATTAGCCATCACATCATTATCAGAACTCAACGTTATTGTGTTCGACAAGATAAAATCTAACCTGCTTTTACAACTATCTGAGGTGGCGACTTTTCCAAGCCGTCTACTTTATCAACCTTGACTTCTTCTTTGTCCTTTTCCTCTTCTTTTTCTTCCTCTAACCTGCCGTGGTGCGGGCGTCTGCTGACCGTGGGTCGTCTCCTGTGGCTCCTACCTCCACCGTCCGTTCCATCTGTTACAGGTACCACTAGCTGTGAAGAACTGAGGCGGTTACGAGCTTTACGAGCAACCTGGAAAAACAAACAGTAGGAATAAAATTGAACGGACACAGAGGTGTGTTAGATATCAGTTTCTCTAGTTTCAAAGCAATTGTAGATTCGCCTCCTAGTCTTAGCCATCTAGTATGACATAAGGGAATGTACTATCTAAGATACGTGCTCTCCGTCGTGAAACCGTCACGTCCTGGGTCTTTAAGTCATCATCGACTTGACGAATTAAAACCTGAAGTTGATCTTTTCCCTTCTTAAGTGCCCTTACGTCATAACATTATGCTACAGCTGATAAAAGAAAAGCTTTTAAGCACTTCATAACATAAAGAATCGTTTCCTCAAGCTAAACGCAAAACGTCCGGTTATTACTCATGACTTTCGGGAAGTCATGAGGAAGGTCGTTTTCACACGCGACAGACGGGTCACATCTGCTAAGTTTCGTCTTTTAGAATAAGAGCTGGGCACTAAACGAATCAGTAAGTAGAATAATACTAAATATTGAAAAAGACACTTTCTAGTCATAGAATTTGGTAACTGCTCCTGTATTTTCCATTTCAATATTGGTTAGCGCTAACTAAATGGAATATTGCCACTTGAGTGGATAAGTAATAACTTTGGAGCTGTCACTGTTTCTTTTGTTGCATGTAAAATCTAGGAACTATTCACTCGGAATAAAAAAATATTATCTTATAACGACTTTTACAAGCAGTACAGACTTTACCTTCTAAATACCCAAAAGGTACTTTGATTTCTCTGGCAGTGCCTACTACTAATAATTATTTCAATTTATTACCTTTCATTTTCTATTGTTTTTACATAAGAATGTAAGACTTTGCAATCTTTTTTCTTCCGTCCTTTCCTGTAACTCTATGTAAATGTCTATGCCACTTAATTGCACGTGACAGTAAACAACTCGAAAACTTAACCTACGTTGGTTACCGCTCACATTTTACCTTTCGCCATTTATGTCAATTGGAGTTCCTCTTTTTTTCTGTTCTTGTAATATACTGTAATGTATGTATTTACATCTTTTAATAGCGAAAAAATAAATTATTAAAAATAGAAACAAAAAAATCTGAAATCTTAGTGTTAAAATTCGTCAGGTGCGCATGATCAAAGTGCTTCTTACCGCTGCAACATCATCCTCGTCCGCGGCCTTCTCGACGTCTTTCTCCTCTTCCTCTACCTTGTTTCGATAGTCTCTTAGAAGTAGTTCCTGTCACGATATAATAGATCAACATAAGTCAATAGTGCAGCAGAGATTTCATCGCACATAACTTTTGACAAAATCCCTTACGAGAAAAGTCTCCTTGCTCATTCACCACAACATTCTCGAATAAAAAGCAAAGATATGATAAAACAAGTCTTCACATTTAAGATATTCAAACCGATGGTACGTAACTTCCCTTAGCATTCAGACGAAATAGGTTATTCATTTTCCCTTTCCTTGTTTAAGAAAACCTTAAGTGAGGATGTCGACTGACATCAAGCTAAGTGTTTTACAGCGGGGTTCTCAATTAAAAATTACAAAATAAAATAAGTAAAAATTAACAAGAAACTAATATTATTATAAAGGAAACACTTGAGTGCCTAGCAAAGAATAGGAAAATAACGAAAAGCGTAATGAAGATTAGAATAATTACAAGCTACTGAAATGTACTAACATACGAGAATTCTTGATAAATGAATTAAAATATGCCTTCAGACAAGCCACACTTAAATGCGAGAAAAGGCATTTGTCTTAAGTAAATGGCCAAAGAGTTCCAGACATCTGCAGCAAAGTTTTAGAGTTGTCCAATGACCCCATCTTCGAGAGGCAAAAGATCTACCTTTATGCTTAGATCTGGTACTGTTATTATACCCATTGATTTATAAAAAATTAGTTTCTGTCTTAATATTACACTAATTACACTAAGAATCCCGTTCGAGTTTTTGTAAAATTTCAATTTCTGTGCATTTTGGTTGATTTCTTACTAACGTGCAATGTTGACATCGATTTATTTCCTGTTCAGAGCGATCGCTTTCACAAACGTTTCGTTATTATTAGTACCACGCTACCTCTAAAATCTTACAGGGGCACTTCTTTCGGCTTAATGCAAACCTGAATGTATTTTTTTCCTGCACGCAACATGTTCCATGTTATCTGACTGTCGCTGCGATGTATCATGGAGGTTCGAACTGCTAGGAAAACGGGGTCTGTATGAATAGTCTTTTCACAGTGAATGTCAATAGTCTCGCGGGCTCAACTTTTTTCTCCCTTTTTTTTCATTTGGCAATGATAATAATTGACAGGCAGATCACCTTCTGCAGCTGACAATAAAATCAGTTCCTCTGGATTTCCAATAGTATTTTCTCCTAACAATATTTATTCATCCTCAAAGGAAAAAGTTATGAGAATTAATAGAGTGATCAGCAAAGGGAAAATGCTCTGATCTTTAATCAAATTCTCTCCACTAATTCTTCAAGAAAATGTATGGAGATCAGTCTTGGAAATCTGTTTGCGGATATTGGTGCTTCAAGATTCAACAAGTGATATCGTCATTCACGTGACAAGAAACTAGTTGGATAACCGCAAAGAAATGTCATTTAACGACCAAATTTCACTGCATTAAAAGAGGAAATCCCTCTTGTAGAGTCTGATATACAGATTGCTGAAAGGTGACAATTCGTAAAAGCAATGAACACAAGGTTATAGAATAAGTGATTAAGCAAAACAATTGTCGCTTACAGGAGCCGTGTCACAGAATTTATCAGAAATTCAGTAAGCGCTTCCATCAAATTGAGTTATAATACAAATAAACGTTCAAAATGGCTCCACGAAGGCATAAATAACATAGCAAATAAAAACGAACGCAACTTGTGGACAAAATTGAAGAAGATGAAAACGGATTGCAATTGCGGTTTTTGACAACTTGCTAGCCTAACAACTTTTTTTAAAGTTCACTTTTGTTGTTGACGACGTTTGATATGATGTTTTGGAAGAGAAATTTGTCTGATGCAGATAACGTTAAGTTCCTTCGTGCATTGAGCCGCGTTGTTGGCCATATTAAAAGAAAACTTAAAGAAGTAGATAGCCGGGATATATTTCCTTTGACAGGATGTGTAATAATAAACTTTTCCTATCAACATGGCGCACAGCCAAAACATCCACCTGATGGCGACTTTCCCACACTTATTTATTAGACCTGTTGTATGCCGTTTACAGTTTCACTGCAAGACACATCCTCATCAGCGAAGCTGAAGGAACAGAGACGAAGTTTTAAAAAACGAAGTTTGGTGATGATAATGCAGTTACTAGTATCTTCTCTTAAGTTACGTTCACACGGCATTGGACGAATTTTCCTGCGTTCACACGGACCTACCTTAATCGTATGAAAATTTAGACGCCTAGCCGCCCAAATTTCCGTCTGAACAGATCGAAAATATTGAACGGTTTCGTGTGAACAAAGTGTCTTGTCAAATTTTTCAGCCGGTCGAAATTCGTCCGATACCGTATGAACATAGCCATGATGTGGCACAAAACAGTCTGCTCACGCGTTCACACTCACCAATTTGCTTGCGCTGTTCTCAAGCTGATGTATCACCATCTCCATGATCACGTCAGCCATAACAGATGCTGATGTGAGTTTGTTTTCACTGTAAAACAGAGTCAAGGGAATAAAGTTATAGGCGAGTGAGTCGACTGAACTGAAAACGTGTCACCAAGAGCGCCGCAGGGATGCCGCT